GTCAATATTTCCTAATCAATATTTGACCATATGCTACAAGATATAGTTACCATATTTAATAAACTTGAAGACAAAGCAACAAGAGAAAGTATTAAAGGGTGGGGCATGCCACCCATATAAGGTATGTGGGGCCCCACCTAATACGCACATGGTGGGCCCATGTGTACTGTGGGCCCTCATGTATTTTTTTTAATAAATATTTTAAAATTAAACAAAATAAATTTTAAAACATTATAACTGTGTAAATTAATAACTTCATTTTTATAAGTCCAAAAATAAGAAATAAAATATCAAATGAGTTATAAAAATTCAAATAATAAATCCAAAATAACTTAATAATAAAATAAACACAATTAAATTAATATGATGGGAAGTGGATCCATATGGTTGAGGAATTCAATCAACGATCATAGGGAACTTCACCTTCAGTTATGGACTACATACTACACTTGCTTTAGCGAACCGATCCAATGTTTCCTATGACCCACAGTCCAAGCAGGGGCTCATTAGTGGGTCACCAAAGTTCGGTCGATGAGCCAAGAAATCGTAATCCCAGTTTGTGGATTGCAGGTCCTCCTCTAGAGACAAGTCAAGGTCACTATAACCTGATACGACCACAGCTCTATGGTGGATAAAGGTATCTCTCGCACATGCATATGCTTCACCCAAAGGTGGATATTTAGCTTTTCCAAACGATCTATCTATATGCATGCCGTGTGATGGAACATGGATGAGGTTTTGGCCCCCGTCTCTGTAGCCTACTATCACACACAAGGGTCACACAGTCCCTCGGCTCACTCGTCTAGGCATAAGCTCCGACCTCATCAAGAGTTAACCCAAAAACCCTTCTCGATTTAATTTTTATGCACAGGTACCTTCGGTTTTTCAACCGGCTGGCCTAGATCGTCAAGCACAATCCAGTATTCGTAAATATCATTTACTTAGTATGGTCTTCGAAAGACCACACTCCCACTGAGTTTATGTTCTATTATAATAAATGTTTTTCATTACGCACTCATAAGGCCTTTAAAGGCCATATAAATCCAACATCTCTCATTTGGCCTTTGAATGCCTTACATTCTCTCTTCTTCACTTTCTCTCATCCCCATCTCTCTTACATATCTTACAAAAACATTAGGGATAACTCCCTTAGTCATAGGGTCTGCAATCATCAAATCTGTAGATATGTAGTTGATCTCGATCTCTTTCAATCTCAATCTCACTTCATTTATCAGGTGATATAAGTATGACTTAATATGCTTGGAATTCTTATGAAACCGAGGCTCCTTAGAGACACAAATAGCCGCCGTGCTGTCGCGAAAAATTAGCATCGCCTCACAACGTACATGATGGAAATTAAGTTGATTAAAAAATGCCTTAATCTACACAGCCTCCTTGGCTACTAGACAGCATGCCACATACTCGGATTCCATAGTAAACAAAGCCAACCCCCTCTAAGCATAAATACATACCCAGATATAGACTTCGCATCATCTGGATCCGCGAGATAGCTTGCATCTGAATATCCCTCTATTACTATTTCAGTTTCCCCTTATATGTGAGCGCATAGTTCATGGTCCCCTTTAAATATCTCTGAATTCTTTTTACTGCTTTTCAATGCTCCTCTCATGGATTACTTTGGAAACAGCTCACCAGACGCATGACGAAGGACAAGTCAGACCCTGTTCCCGTCATGACGTACATA